TTGTCGCAAACCTTTGTACCTTCTCTAGTTTCTTGACGCGCTTTATCAAGCGCGGGTTTGCCAGGCGCCCATATGCTGCAGCAGTTATCTGGTTGATGTGTGCTTCTGAAGACATGCTCATTGTTATACTCACCCCAAGATCTTTCTCCTTGAGTGAGGTTTGCAGTCTTTGGCCACCTAGCCTATACTCTGTCTGTGGTCTTCTGTGCCCTTCCCCTATTTTCATGACTTTGCATTTGGCAGGATTAAATTCGAAAAGCCATTTGCTGGACCAGGTGTCCGGTCTGTCCAGGTCTCTTTGAAGTCCTGCCTGGTCCTCATCTGATTTAATTCTCCTCATTAACTTCACATCATCTGCAAACAGGGACACTTCTGAGTCTAACCCTTCCATCATGTCGTTCACATATACCAAAAATAGCACTGGTCCTAGGACCGACCCCTGTGGGACCCCGCTTGTCACAGGTGCCCACTGTGATACATCATTACGTACCATGACTCGTTGTTGCCTCCCTGTCAGGTATTCTCTGATCCATTGCAGAGCCCTTCCTGTTATATGCGCCTGATGCTCTAGCTTCTGCACTAGTCTTTTGTGAGGAACTGTGTCAAAGGCCTTCTTGCAGTCCAAGAAGATGCAATCAACCCACCCCTCTCTCTCATGTCTTACTTCTGTTATTTTATCATAAAACTCCAGAAGGTTTGTGACAGGATTTGCCTTCCATGAATCCGTGCTGGTTGGCATTTATACTCTTGTTCCGTTCCAGGTGCTCCACCACTCTCCTCCTGATAATCTTCTCCATAACTTTGCATACTATACACGTCAATGACACAGGTCTATAGTTTAGTGCCTCTTTTCTGTCTCCTTTTTTAAAAATGGGAACTACATTTGCCGTCTTCCATACCTCAGGTAGTTGCCCCATTTCCAGGGACGTGTTGAAGATTGTGGTAAGTGGCACGCACAACATATCTGCTCCCTCTTTAAGGACCCATGGGGAGATGTTGTCCGGTCCCATTGCCTTTGAGGTATCGATGTCCCTTAGCAGTTTCTTCACCTCCTCCTCATCTGTATGTATGTCGTCCAACACTTGTTGGTGTATTCCTTGCTGGTATCCCCATCTGGTCTGTCCCCCCAGAGGCCTTCCTGTCTCTACTGTAAATACTTCCTTAAATCTCGTGTTGAGCTCCTCACATACCTCTTGATCGTTTCTTGTGAGTTCTCCACCTTCTTTCCTCAGCCTTATCACCTGGTCCTTGACTGTTGTCTTCCTCCTAATGTGGCTATACAGCAATTTCGTGTCAGATTTGACTTTCGATGCTATGTCGTTTTCATACTGTCGCTGGGCCTCCCTCCTTATCTGTGCATACTCATTTCTGGCTCTTCTACTAATCTCCTTGTTTTCCTGGGTCCTATGCCTCCTGTACCTTTTCCATTCTCTGTTACACTTAGTTTTTGCCTCCCTACACCTTCGGGTAAACCAAGGACTCGTTTTGGTCTTCCTATTATTTCTGTTTCCCTTGGGAACGAACCTTTCCTCTGCCTCCTTGCACTTTGTTGCCACATATTCCATCATCTCGTTTACTGATTTTCCTACCATTTCTCTGTCCCACTGAACCTCCTGCAGGAAGTTCCTCATACCTTTTATAGTTTGGCCTGTCCCCTTCAGTTCCTGTTACCTTCTCCACTTGTAACTCTACTATATAATCAAAACTCAGAACCACGTGATCGCTAGCTCCAAGGGGCCTCTCGTAAGTGATGTCCTCAATGTCTGAACTGCTCAGGGTGAACACAAGATCCAGTCTTGCTGGCTCATCCTCCCCTCTCTCTCTGGTAGTGTCCCTGACATGTTGATGCATGAGGTTTTCAAGTACCACATCCATCATCTTGGCTCTCCATGTTTCGGGACCCCCATGTGGCTCCAGGTTTTCCCAGTCGATCTCCCTGTGGTTGAAATCGCCCATTACCAGTAACTTTGCTCTGCTCGAGTGAGCTCTTCTTGCCACCTCAGCCAGTGTGTCCACCATCACCCTGTTGTTTTCTTCGTACTCCTCTCTTGGCCTCCTGCAGTTCTGTGGTGGGTTATACAGTGGACCCCCGGTTAACGATATTTTTTCTCTCCAGAAGTATGTTCAGGTGCCAGTACTGACCGAATTTGTTCCCATAAGGAATATTGTGAAGTAGATTAGTCCATTTCAGACCCCCAAACATACACGTACAAACGCACTTACATAAATACACTTACATAATTGGTCGCATTCGGAGGTGATCGTTATGCGGGGGTCCACTGTACATCACTCCAATGACTACTTTATGTTCTCCGGACTGAATTGTACCTACAATGTAGTCTCTTTCTCCAATCATGTCCATGCCTTCCATTTCCTCAAATCCCCATCGGTGTTTTATGAGCAGTGCAACCGCTCCTCCCCCTCTACTCCTCCTATCTTTCCTCAGGATCTGATATCCCATTGGGAAGATTGTGTCTGTTATTGTCTCAGCGAGTTTTGTTTCTGTGACTGCTATGATGTCTGGGGATTTCTCACTGATTCTTTTGTTCCACTCCTCATGTTTATTCGTTATTCCATCCGCGTTTGTGTACCAAACTTTCAGTTTCTTTTTTATTATTTTGGTCATGCAAGAATATTGGGGTTGGGGGAGCGAGAGCCTTGGTGGGGGCCTATATGGGGCTGTGGTGTAGGTGGGGTTTGTGATGATGGGGGTGGGGTCAGAATGCCCATAAGGGAAGCTGTTGGGGTGAGGTTTGTGATATGGGGGTTGGAGGCAGAGGGAACAGTGAGTGGGTTGTAATATAGGTTGCTCACTTGCATTGGGAATGTTGTGGTTGGAGTCTTTTGGTGGGAGATTCTGTGGGGTGTGTTTGCCCTTCCTCCTGTGTCTGGGTCCTGCTCATCTTCGTCAGTGCCTCTCATTCCTCCTTGCGTCTCTGTACCCTCTCTTTCAGTGTAGTCCTTTCTTCTTGTGTTCTGTTGCGGTCGAGGTATACTCTCTGGTACCCCTGTTTGTCCCTCAGTCTTGCTTTCTCTTGCAGAATCCTGGTTCGAACTGATTCTTCCTTGAAAATTACTTTGACAGGCCGTATCCTTCCACTCGCAAACCACCCAATTCTCTGAAAATTTGTCACCTGGGTCATATTGCCCTCACCTATTGTTTTCATGATGCCTTCAATCATTTTTTCTCCTCCTGTTTTATTTCTTCGAAGTTGTCCCCCTTGGCTTCTTGGAGCCCGTACACAAAAACTGGCCTTGCCCTTTCCTCCTCCCACTGAGTCTCCATCTGCTTCCTCTGAGGCATTTTATTTCCTTCCATTGACATGTTCTTGCCTTCAGTCCCTGCCATATCTGAAACTTCTATTCTCAGTGAACTGTCTTTCATGACCAGCTGTCCCTTGCTACTGCAGTTGGCTGTTAGAGTCTCTGCATATAGCATACCTTCATTGTCTTTGGACCTGTCATTTGATCTTAGTGTGCTCCTCGTCTTTTCCCTGGCCCCACGTGGGTCTGATAGGGCCTTCGCATACGACGTGTCTCCTTTGTTGCTTACCGTCCCCTTGTCCGCGCCTGACATTGAATTTTCTGATGTCACATCTGAATTGTCATTTGTCTCTCTAATCTGTTTCAGGCTTTGCAGTTTCTCTTCTAAGCACTGCATCCTAGCTTCTGCTGCTAAGACCTGTACTTCCCACTTCCTGCACTCTTCAGCTATCCGCTCCTCCATTTTCTTACCAAGCTCTACTATCTTCCTTCCCCACTCTTCCTCCCTTTTTTGGAGCTCTAGCTCCCAGTCTTTCCTCCCTGGTTCGTCCACCAGATCTCTGGTTTTCCGTCCTCTAGGGCCACCCATTTTTTTTTTACCACAGTGTGTGTGTGTGTGAGTGTGTGTGTGTGTATGTGTATGTGTGTGTGTGTGTGTGTGTGTGTGTGTGTGTGTGTGTGTGTGTGTGTGTGTGTGTGTGTGTGTGTGTGTGTGTGTGTGTACGTGTGTGTGTGTGTACTCACCTAGTTGAGGTTGCAGGGATTGAGTCACAGCTCCTGGACCCTGTGTGTGTGTATGTGTGTGTGTGTACATGAGTGTGTACATGTGTGTGTATGTATGTGTACTCACCTAATTGTACTCGCCTAATTGTGGATGCAGGGGTCGAGACTCAGCTCCATGCCCCGCCTCTTCACTGAATGCTACTAGGTCCTCTCTCTCCCTGCTCCATGACCTTTATCATACCTCATCTTAAAGTTATATATGGTTCCTGCCTGGCTAGGCTATTCCACTTCCTGACTTCTCTATGACTGTGTGTACTCACCTATTTGTGGTTGCAGGGGTCGAGTCTTAGCTCCTGGCCCTGCCTGTGTGTGTGTGTGTGTGTGTGTGGCATGCCTGGAGACAAGTGGTTTTAGGGATTTGGCATGCTGTTGGAATGTAAGCAAGATAAAGATTTTTGGAAAGATTTAGGGAAACCTGGTTATCAAGACTTGAGTCCTGGAGGTGGGAAGTACAGTGCCTGCACTCTGAAGGAGGGGTAGAGATTATAGAGTTTGGAGGGTCATTTGGATTGCTATGTATGCATATTTCTCATAAGATTATGAATGTTTTTTTTTTTTTTTTTTTACCCACCTTGGTGGGAGATGGCACATGGTTAAAAAAAAAAAAAAGCAACTACAAGAATCAATCTGGTTTTTATATTCTGTTACCTGTGCTTGCAATTTTTAATGTACATTTTAAATTGATTGTCAGAGCACTGAAGCAAGAAAAATTCATGGTATTTTAGAATTTCAGATTTGAATACATTGTTGCTGAATTTGGATGTATAGGTAAGGTTTCAGGCACAAAATTGTTTTTCTAGTTCCTGTAATAAATGCTCAGCACCTCCTTACAGTTGTTTGATTAAATTACTGCAGAGGCTTTTCCACAGCTTTAGCAGGTAGAGAAAACAGATTGGAATAAAATGAAAAATGCTTTATGTCATATTTTTAAAAGATATAAATTATTTTTACAGAGACTGTTCAAGCTCGCTCAGATGCATCAATGCGCTTAAAGAATGTATCACAGGACACCAAGCAGATTTTGGAGGAATTTAACCAAACATATAAGGAGACAGACAAGAAAGAAGAGACTGAAGAACGAGTTGCAGATAAATTTAATGCAGTAAGGAATGGTTATGTACTAGTTTAAACTATAAAAGTTTTGATGTGGAATTAAAATTTTACATGCAAATACATGTACCTTTATCTAACTCACAAACTTAATATGTTCTGTCTTTTGTTTTTACTGCATATTTGAAAACTGAATTTTGAGTACTTCATTAATTAATACAAACTGGTTATTTTTTGCTAACAACTTAAGTTTTAGATTGTTTTTGAAAATAAAGCACTCTCCACACACTGTGTTAAGCTGACCTGTGGCAGTGTCCTCTACCATGCATGGTGTGTTTTGGTTTCCTGAGTGAGAGAAAATCGCTGTACAGTGAACCCCTGCCGTTCGGCACCCGTGACTTTCGTGAAATCCGACTTTTGGCAAGTTTTTTCGGCAAAATTTAGCTTCGTGGTTCGTGATTGGACTCATGATTCGGCGCCCTTCTGGTACGCGTCTGCCCGTCAGCGTGCACACAAAGCCAGTCTCCCACACTATTCACACTCAGTGTGCCATTGTTTACCAGCATGTGACCATCATCCCACAGGTTCATACAACACATTTCATAATAATTCATTGTTTTTTGTGCTTGCAACTGCTAAATAAGCCACCATGGGCCCAAAGAAAGCTCCTAGTGCCAGCCCTTTGGTTAACAAGGTGAGAAACACGATAGAATTCAAGAAAAAACTCATAGCAAAGTACTAAAGTAGAGGAGGACGAGAGAGGGGAGAATGTGCCTTCTGCAGCGATTCAGTGATTCTGCAATATGTATGATACTAAAGCAGCAGGTATCGATAAAGGCTATAGCTCCAGCCAGCGATAAAGTGTAGAATTAACAGTGTAGCAAGTAAGTTAAGCGAGTAAGTGATAGAAAAACAACACGAGAGTAACTCTCCAATGTTGTTGGATGTGTATAGGACCGCTGAACATACACCGCCCTGCTATCTTCCACCACCCTAAACCTCTGCCAACATCTCCTTCATCAAACTAACTAATTAAACTAACATCTCCTCCAAGGTAAGTGTAAATATAAAAGGACACCAATGGAAATATGTCACTCTTGAATTTTTTGGGTTATCCTGGATACTTTACATATATGCTGCTATGTATGATAATCTATGTATGTAACTGTATTTGTGTATACCCGAATAAACTTAGTTATTTATAAATTAAAATGTAAATATTTCTTATTTATAAATTACATTGTTTAAGTGTGATGGTGGTGGTGGCCAAAGCCTCCACTGCCACCAACACGGCTTCTCTCAGTGGCGGCCCTTAAACCCAACAACAAGACTTACACCGTTTACTCCTTTTATACATTATGACTATTTTATTCCTAGGTAGTAGGTTGGTAGACAGCAACCGCCCAGGGAGGTACTACCGTCCTGCCAAGTGAGTGTAAAACGAAAGCCTGTAATTGTTTTACATGATGGTAGGATTGCTGGTGTCCTTTTTTCTGTCTCATGAACATGCAAGATTTCAGGTACGTCTTGCTACTTCTACTCACACTTAGGTCACACTACACATACATGTACAAGCACATATATACACACCCCTCTGGGTTTTCTTCTATTTTCTTTCTAGTTCTTATTCTTGTTTATTTCCTCTTATCTCCATGGGGAAGTGGAACAGAATTCTTCCTCCGTAAGCCATGCGTGTTGTAAGAGGCGACTAAAATGCCGGGAGCAAGGGGCTAGTAACCTCTTCTCCTGTATATATTACTAAATGTAAAAGGAGAAACTTTCGTTTTTCCTTTTGGGTCACCCCGCCTCGGTGGGATGTGGCCGGTGTGTTGAAAGAAAGAAAGAAAGACTATTTTATTCATTCTAGAGTATATATCATGTTTCTATGTTATTAATATTGTTTATAATGTCATATTAGATGAATTGTGATAGATAAATAAGCTGTAGAGATGATATTAGCATCATATTGAAGCATAATAAACTCGCCTTCCTCTTGCCTCCTGCCTACCTCCTATACCAACAAGAATCAATAAAGATTAAGTGTGATGTTAAATGTTCATTTATCCATTTTATTAGTGCTTTATATTTATTTGTCATTGTTTTCTGTATGTAAATCTATATTCAATCTTTAAAAAAATTATTTTTTGTTAATACTTTTGGCTGTCTGAAACGGATTAATTGGGTTTCCATTATTTCTTATGGAGGAAATAGATTCACCAGTCGTGAATTTCGCCAGTCGGCAGACTCTCTGGAACGGATTAATGACGAAACTCGGGGGTCCACTGTATTTCGAATGTTTATGATGTACGTATATCTATTATCTGTTAATGGTTCTTGGGATCATTTACCCTACAACCCTGTCTCATCAGGCTTCTTCAGTTAAAAATAAAATATTATAGGCAGTGGCAGCTCGTCCATAGGAGCTGCAGTTCCCCCAGGTGTTCACTGCCGGATGCATGACTTCATCAACCTTATGCTAAAATAATTTCCAACTGACAAATACATTATAGGAAAAATCAGTTGTTGTTGTTTTCAATGTATTTATAAATGAATTTTTATTTTTTGTTGAAACAAGATAAATGATTAAAAATAGAAGTTTGATGCGGTATGATAGTATAGGTATTACTGGCGCTACGAGCCGCCACTGATTGTGGGAATAAGAACTGTTGGAAATGCAAAGGAAATTTAAAATATAGGTGAAGACATGAGCACAGGTCTTTGAATATTTTATTATGAAATGATTTGGTTCTGGGACCATGGGGCCATGAGAAACAGGTTTGTATAGGCAAGGTACATTTGAAGGTCATGTAAGCTGAGCTCTTAATTGGGTCACCTGATGTCTGTATCCTGAGGTGGGCAGGGCAAAGCTTATTCACGTGACCTCACTACAGTTCAGCTGGCCTGACCTTCATGTATACCAGCCTATCTATACCTATGTTTTTACAAGTTCAGCATATAAGATGTATATTGGAGTGAACAAGTTCTCAGGAAATGTCACAAATTGTTTGTACTATATCATATACTAGGTTTTCACCAAATAAGTAGAAGTTTGTTAGATTTACCTACTATCTTATATGTTCATGAAACAAGAAGAAAAGACCAGCAGTTCTGCCAGTGTGTAAAATATTTTATACTTCCCACCTTGCACTCATATGCCAGTATGGTAATATCTTTCTGGAATGATTCTAACAAAATACTGCTATACATTTTGTTGGACTTCTACATTCTGTATCATAGCATCCGAACACCGTTGATACACCTGCCAAGAAGTGAGTTTTTTGTTAGAGCAAGATTAATGTATTTCCAGTGTGGTTTGGAGCTGTAAATGTGAGCAAGCCCACTTAAAGCTCCATAAGGAAAAAATGCTAATAAGATTAAGAAAGCTGTGCATCTATGTCACGCTAAGCAAAGTCTTCGAAACATTCATGAAATTAATTGATTGGAAAAATAAGAAGCTTACCAAACTTGCTCATTGATTAAGATTCCTCATCAATACTCCCATCACTCATCAGAAGACCTGATAGCTCCACCAACATGTGGAAGTGACTACCGGATCCTCATTGACCACAAAGCAAATTTGAGCAAGTGAAAGTTGGTTTGACAGATGTAATAAATGTCATTATTTTGAAGGGAGAGGTTGCCAGTACTGATCAACCTGCAGTGTTTGTCACTGCTGCATTGTTCACCCAGATTGTTTTGTTGATTCCTTATTGAAGTTGTTGAAATTACTGTTTGCAGATTACACAGTGCAAGTGGGGGATTCAGAAGAGAAAAAGCATGAGTGTATGAAGGATGAGAGAAATTATAGAATAAAATTATTTAAAAAACCACACCTCTATTTATTTACATTTATTTACTATTTATTTACATATGCCGTATTCAGATATTTGGGAGTGGACGTGTCAGCGGATGGGTCTATGAAAGATGAGGTGAATCATAGAATTGATGAGGGAAAAAGAGTGAGTGGTGCACTTAGGAGTCTGTGGAGACAAAGAACTTTGTCCTTGGAGGCAAAGAGGGGAATGTATGAGAGTATAGTTTTACCAACGCTCTTATATGGGTGTGAAGCATGGGTGATGAATGTTGCAGCGAGGAGAAGGCTGGAGGCAGTGGAGATGTCATGTCTGAGGGCAATGTGTGGTGTGAATATAATGCAGAGAATTCGTAGTTTGGAAGTTAGGAGGAGGTGCGGGATTACCAAAACTGTTGTCCAGAGGGCTGAGGAAGGGTTGTTGAGGTGGTTCGGACATGTAGAGAGAATGGAGCGAAACAGAATGACTTCAAGAGTGTATCAGTCTGTAGTGGAAGGAAGGCGGGGTAGGGGTCAGCTTAGGAAAGGTTGGAGGGAGGGGGTAAAGGAGGTTTTGTGCGAGGGGCTTGGACTTCCAGCAGGCATGCGTGAGCGTGTTTGATAGGAGTGAATGGAGACAAATGGTTTTTAATACTTGACGTGCTGTTGGAGTGTGAGCAAAGTAACATTTATGAAGGGGTTCAGGGAAACCAGCAGGCCGGACTTAGAGTCCTGGAGATGGGAAGTACAGTGCCTGCACTCTGAAGGAGGGGTGTAAATGTTGCAGTTTAAAAACTGTAGTGTAAAGCACCCTTCTGGCAAGACAGTGATGGAGTGAATGATGGTGAAAGTTTTTCTTTTTCGGGCCACCCTGCCTTGGTGGGAATCGGCCAGTGTGATAATAAAAAAAAAAATGCTGTACAGGTTTGTGTATGTTACCACATGCTTCAGTGAACTCTTTATAATTGCAGGCACACTACTCGACAGGGAAAGTATCTGCTAGCTTTACATCAACTTCCGTTGATGTGGAGACCAAACATGAAGCTGCAGTACTGGAAGATGATGTTGTAAGGTATCAACGAGTGAAGAAAAAAGGTAGCTATTTGTATGTAGTATTAAATAACTTAGTACTCACCCTGCCTCAGTGGAAGATGGCTGGCTTGTTGAAATTTTTCTTTTATTGTAACAGTTCCTAATAGCATGAGGGATCATGTAATATACTATAATAAATTCCTCTCATAACACATAGGTTATGTTCCTGAAGTATCAGTGCCTAACATAAAATAGCATTATGTGAAGTGAAGAATATTAGGGAAAATAGGGATACGTTCTAGATGCCTCCAAATTTGTCAATTCATTTTTTTTAATTTTACAATATAAAAATTACTATAATATAACTTGCCTTACATTTTGGTAGTGATTTCTTCTATATATGGATAAGTATGAAGAGGGTTGATGTGGGCCTACTGGGCTGAAGTGGATGGCTGTTTTTTGTATTGATATGGATGCAGAGTTGTTGGTAGTTGATGTATTATAGTACAGGTACTATACTTTCTGTAATATTTCTCTGGTATGTTTTATCCTACAGCAGTTTATAGAGCTGACCAGAAAGCTAAACATATACTGTTGTGAAAACACCTTCCTTCTCATGCAGAGTTTTATAGTGTGATAGGGCTTTGTGCCTTATTATTTGTCTACTAAGTGGGGGTTCCTTTCTTGAATTTTTTCATCCACCCACATATTCAGTAGCTTTTTCATCAAATTTAGCAGTAGTAACCTCTTTGACATTCTTTTGTGGAGTTGACACCCTGTACTACTTAATGCAAATGCTTTTATTTTTTCTTGTTACAGTGGACTCTCGACTAATGCTGGCATCGTCTAATGATAAAATCGCCTAACGATGCGTTTCTGCGTAAAAATATTGGCTCGACCAACAGTGAAAAACTCAGGTAACAACATTCGTCCCGAACACATCGGCCTGTCCGTCCAGCCTGAGCGCCTCAGCTGCCCTGCCTTCAGCTAGTGTGCCATTGTTTACAAGCCAGGGCAGACGGTTCCATGCATATATGCTATACTTTTGTATTCCATTGTTTTTAGTGCTTGTGACTGCTAAATAAGCCACCATGGGCCCAAAGAAAGCTTCTAGTGCCAACCCTGTGGTAAAAAGGGTGAGAAATACTATCGAAATACTGTTGTACCACGGTCAGCTGCTGCTGCACCACCATCAGCTGTTGCTGCACCACCATCAGCTGTTGCTGCACCACCATCAGTTTCTACTGTACCACGGTCAGCTGCTGCTGCACCACTGTCATCTGTTGCTGCACCACTGTCAGCTGCTGCTGCACCACCATCAGTTGCTGCTGTACCACAGTCAGCTGCCCCTGCTGCTGCACCACTGTCAGCTGTTGCTGCACCACCGTCAGCTGCTGCTGTACCATCGTCAGCTACTGCTGTACCACGGTCAGCTGCTTCTGGACCACCGTCAGCTGTACCACTCGAAGATGTGGAGAGAGTGTTGTTGGTGTGGCTTAACGAGAAACAATTACCGAGAAACAATTAACCCCATAGGGTTAGCCACCCAGGATGACCCAAGAAAGTCAATGCATCATTGAGAACTGTCTAACTTATTTCCATTGGGGTCCTTAATCTTGTCTCCCATGATGCGACCCACACCAGTCGACTAACATCCAGGTGAACAGGAAAAAATGCCTGGGACTAGTGCTCATATTGGTGAATTTAAGGCCAGAAAAAGTTGATTTGAGAGATTTAAGAATCGTAGTGGCATACACAGTGTGATAAGGCATGGCGAAGCTGAAAAATTCCAACCCCAACAAGTGTTCAATTGTGATGAAACAGGCCTGTTCTGGAAGAAAATGCCAAACAGGACCTACATTACTCAGGAATAATAGCCACTCCCAGGACACAAGCCTATGAAAGATGCTAACTCTCATGTTTTGTTGTAATGCTAGTGGGGATTGCAAAGTGAAGCCTTTACTCATGTATCACTGAAAATCCCAGTGTTCAAGAAAAACAGTCTCATCACTCATCAATATTCATCAATGTAGTTATTATGCATGTCTCATTGTTTTTTTTGTAGGGGAATGTATATTTCATGAAAAAAATTATTTTTTTTAATACTTTTGGCTGTCTGGAACGAATTAATTGGATTTCCATTATTTCTTATGGGGAAAATTAATTTGGCTAACGATAAATTTGGCTAAGGACAAGCTCTCTGGAACGGATTAATGTCATTGGTCGAGGGTCCACTGTACTTCTATTTGTATGAGTGGTTAATTGATTCACAGAAAACTTGGCACCACCTAGAAGCATACCTAACACTTAAATTTTTTCAGATGCATCTAACACTTTAATTTTTTCAGCAAAGTAATAGATTCATACTTGTTCTACCTGGTACCTCCAACATCATTAGTATTCCTCATGGGTGCTATGGTTAATATCCAGAGACCAGATATAGTGATGAAATATCCAAAATAGCTTGAGTGAGGCACAGGACACTCAGAATGTAACTGTAGGTGGTGTTGGTTGTCAGTGAGTGGGAAGGAGATGTGTACAATGGTGTGTGGTAACCAAATTTTGCACACAGTACAGCATTTGTGTGTGTAGTACCAATATTTTCAATGCTAAGCTATTCTTCAATGCTTTATGATGCCTGATATCAAAGTTATTGTGGGATCCAGATTTTTAGTTGCACTTTTTTAATCAAAATGCAAGAAAACCATGTGTTGTCACATTATTAAAGGTTTTCTCCACATGCAGAAATGTTCTGATTATGGTCAGAATACATCTTCAAATATAAACTTTGCCTTCACAAGTCTAGTAATGAGAAATTTTCTTGAGGCATTGTCAGTCTGATTTTCTGAAAAATTCAGTTTTTGCTATTTTGATGTGATTTTATTCACCTTTGTGGTAAAGAGGTTTTGGTAAGCTAATAACTGAGTCTCATGTTAGCTTATAACTCTGAAGGGAAGAGTGCATGGGTGCACTCTTCCCTTCAGAGTTAGTTTTTACTAATGTTTTTGATGAAATATTAGTAAAAACTTGTGATGAATGGTTTTAGCTCTTTGTTTTAAATATAATAATACAGCCTCTCCTCACTAGCAATGTACTTGTTTACCAACGCCTTGGACTTACAACAGGCTCTCTGACCATTATTTATGCCTAAATAATGTATATTAGAGCTGATTTCCTCTATTCTGTTTATTTCATTATGCAGTACACTTCTGCATAAACATTTAAAAATATACCAGAAATATTATAAATGGTGCAGAAGTGACATTAAAACAATATCAAAGATGGTTGACACAAACCCACTTCCATTATAGTATGCTCCTCACTTAGCGACAAATTCGTTTAACGATGTGGTCTTAGGAACGGAACTCTGTTGTTAAGTGTGGAGAGGCTGTAATAATAATACAGTGGACCCCTGACTTATGGTATTAATCCGTTCTAGAGCACATCATAAGACGAAATTATTGTAAGTCAGATTAATTTTCCCCATAAGAAATAATGGAAATCAAATTATTCCATTTGACACCCAAAAGTATGAAAAAATTTTTTACTGTTTATGCCACTATGATTCTTAAATTTCTGAAACCAACCTTTACTGGCCTTAAATTCACCAATATGAGCACTAGTTCCAGGCATTTTTCATGTTCACCTGGGTGTTAGTTGACTGGTGTGGGTCGCATCCTGGGGGACAAGATTAAGGGCCCCAATGGAAATAAGTTAGACAATCCTCGATGACACACTGACTTTCTTGGGTTATTCTGGGTGGCTAACCCTCTGGGGTTAATTGTTTCTCGGTATTCTCGATAAGCCACACCAACAACAGTCTCTCCACTTCTTCGAGTAGTACAGCTGACTGGTGCAGCAGCAGCTGACCGTGGTACAGTAGCAGCAGCAGCAGCAGCTGATGGTGGTACAGCAGCAGCAGCAGCTGACGGTGGTACAGCAGCAGCAGCAGCTGACCGCGGTACAGCAGTAGCATTAGGTGACAGTGCTACAGCAGCAGCTGACCGTGGTGCAGCAGCAGCTGACCGTGGTGCAGCAGCAGCAGCTGACCGTGGTACAATAGTATTTCGATAGCATTTCTCACCCTTTTTACCACAGGGTTGGCACTAGAAGCTTGCTTTGGGCCCGTGGTGGCTTATTTAGCAGTTACAAGCACTAAAAACACTGGAATAATACAAAATTTATCGATTGTATGTGTGCAACCATCCGCCCTGGCTTGTAAACAATGTCACACTAGCTCAGTTGAGGCGCTCAGGCCAGATGGACCAGACAGTCGCATTTGGGACAAATGATGTAAGTTGAGTTTTTCAACGTAGGTCAGGGTCAAATTTTTATGCTGACAAGCATCGTAAGTCGGTTTTATCGTAGGTTGAGGCCATTGTAAGTCGGGGGTCCACTGTAATAATAAATTGTTGTATCTGAGCACCTCTGTAAAGACAGTGATTATGCATGAGTGATGGTGAAAACGTTGAATGATGATGAAAGTTTCTTTTTTCTTTTTGGGTCACCCTACCTCTGTGGGAAACGACCGACATGTTAAAAAAAAAATAATAATAGTAATTAATAATAATAATAATAATAAAAATTCCCATTAAAGATTAAAATTAGAAATCAGTATGTAATAGAAAGAGAAATACAGTATGTTCTAAAATCACTAGTTCAAAATCTTTTATCATGATTACAGGATATGTGTCATTGAAAACTAATCTTGGCGTACTGAACTTGGAAATATACTGTGACATTCTGCCGAAAACATCAGAGAACTTCATAAGACACTGTGACCGTGGATACTATAATGGCACCAAGTTTCATCGCTCCATTCGTCACTTTATGGTAACAGATCTGATTGTAACTTAGTTGTTGGACATTGTGACTAAGTTTATTGATTTTTTCCTAATTTGTTTGTTTTCCTAAACATTTAAATGGTAGAATGATTTACATAAAAAATTTTAAGAGCAGTTTATTGATGAGTTTTCTGTCTTACCAAATAAAGTAGCTAGAAGGATGATTTACATATACTGTATATCAAATAAGGGATTTATTTTGTAGCTGTGAAATATAAGTATGAAAGAAACTTATGCAACTTATTTATGAGCATAAATAAGTTTCAAAAGGACAACTTGAGGCTTATTTGTTCCATTCAGTTAATAAAAAGACTCCATACATGTTAATTAATTTTTAATACATTAATCATACTATATGTCATTATTTTAGATACAAGGGGGAGATCCTGAAGGCACTGGTAAAGGTGGAGAGTCTATATGGGGAAAGGCCTTTAAGGATGAGTTTCGCCCTAACCTGTCTCATAAGGGACGAGGAGTTCTATCAATGGCTAACTCAGGACCTAATACCAACAAAAGTCAATTGTGAGTCAAATGTTTTAAGAGTTGATTGTGTGAGACACAGAGGATGAGTTATTAGTACAGCTCCTATGTGACTAGTTATTTTAATGTGGTGTAACAGTACATTATTTATTTTTGTTGTGTGTGTTCTTGCAAGTGGTTTATATTTTTTGTTGGTTAGTTGTACCTTAGGTGTTTATTTGTTTATTTGTATTTAACTTGCTAAGTGTGCCAAGTGACCTCACAGGTCAGAGTGCTCTGTAAATCACACAATTGCCATCCCTAAATGACTGTGAAATATGTTTGCTGTGAGCATCATGTCATTTACTTGTTGACAAACGAACAAAATATGCAGTTTATATTAAAATTGTATATTTTTCACTTTTCCAGTAAGGGGACACTTTTAACCCTTTGACTGTCGCGGTCGTATATGTACGTCATAGGAGATACCGTGTTTGACGTATCTATACGCATAAATTCTAGCGGCTTCAAATCAAGCAGGAGAAAGCTGGTAGGCCCACATGCGAGAGAATGGGTCTCCATGGTCAGTGTGCACCATATAAAAAAAATCGGGGAGCCAGTGGTGCATTGTGGGAATACCATTTCAGTCGTCCTTTTTCAGCATGTCTAGCGGTAAGAAATATGTGACTTCCCTTCAAATCTGGGACTCTTCTCTTCCCAAGTGATGCTCTAACACCATGGAAGTGTCAATGAAGATCAATTTCATGATTTCGAGGAGTTTGAGACCAAAAGCAATGGAGGAGGAGGAAGAGGAGGAGGAGGAAGAGGAGGAAGAGGAGGAGGAAGAAGAGGAGGAGGAAGAAGAGGAGGAGGAAGAAGAGGAGGAGGAAGAAGAGGAGGAAGAGGAAGGAAGGAGGAAGAGGAAGGAAGGGGAGGAAGGAGGGAGGAGGAGGAAGGAGGGAGGAGGAGAAGGAGGGAGGAGGAAGGAGGGGGGTAGGGAGGGAGGGAGGAGGAGGAGGGAGGGAGGGAGGAAGAAGGAGGGAGGAGGAGGAAGGAAGGGAGGGAGGAGGAAGGGAAGGAGGGAGGAGAGGAAGGAAGAAGAGGAAGGAGGAAGGAGGGAGGAGAGCTGAGTACCAAAGTGGTGAATATGGATAGGAGGAGTGAAGACAGAAGAAGAAGAAGAAGAAAGAATAAGAATAAGATAAAATAATAATAATACTAATACCTAATAATATAATAATAGTAAATATGTTCCTTGAGGCATGGAAAGACGTTCACCCATGCGTGCAAGATAAGGGGAGATAACATCTGATAAGAGTGACTTTGATGAGCGTAAACAAGGGTGAGGGAGGGGAGGCAGTGTCCATCTGTCAGGGGAGGAGGAGGAGGAGGAGGAGGAGGAGGAGGAGGAGGAGGAGGAGGAGGAGGAGGAGGAGGAGGGGAGGAGGAGGGGAGGAGGAGGGGGGGGGAGGGGAGGAGGAGGGAGGAGGAGGGGAGGGGGGGAGGGAGGAGGAGGGGAGGAGGGGGGAGGGGGGAGGGGAGGGGAGGAGGGGAGGAGGGAGGGAGGGGGGGGGGAGGGGAGGAGGAGGGGAGGAGGAGGAGGAGGAGGAGGAGGAGGAGGAGGAGGAGGAGGAGGGGGAAAGGGGGAGGAGGAGGAGGAGGAGGAGGAGGAGGAGGAGGAGGAGGAGGAGAGGGAGGAGGAGGAGGAGGAGGAGGAGGAGGGGGGGGGAGGAGGAGGAGGAGGAGGGGGAAAGGAGGAGGAGGAGGAGGAGGAGGAGGAGAGGAGGGGAGGAGGAGGAGGAGGAGGAGGAGGAGGAGGAGGAGGAGGAGAGGAGGAGGGGGGGGAGGAGGAGGAGGGGAGGAGGAGGAGGGAGGAGGAGAGGAGGAGGGGAGGAGGAGGAGGAGGAGGAGGAGGAGGAGGAGGAGGAGGAGGGGAGGAGGAGGAGGAGGAGGAGGAGGAGGAGGAGGAGGGAGGAGGGGAGGAGGGGGAGGAGGAGGAGGAGGAGGAGGAGGAGGAGGGGAGGAGGAGGAGGAGGAGGAGGGGGAGGGAGGAGGGAGGGGGAGGAGGAGGTGGAGGAGAGGAGGAGGGGAAGAGGGGAGGGGGAGAGGAGGAGGGGGGAAAGGGAGGAGGAGGAGGAGGAGGAGGAGGAGGGAGGGGGAAAGAGGAGGAGAGAAGAGAGGAGAGGAGGAGGAAGGAGAGAGAAGAAGAGGGGGGAAAAGGAGAGGGGAAGAAGAAGAAGAAGATGAAGGGGAAAGGGAGAGAGGATGAGAGAAGGGAAGAGAAGGATTGAGGAAGAGGAAGAGGAAGAAGAAGAAGAAGAGAAGAAGAGGAAGAGGAGGGAAAAAGGAGGAGACAACAACAACCAATATTTGTCTGTCTGCCAAACTCCCTGTCTATCCGTCTAGCTCTGTCTCAGAGAGAGCACAAGACTGTGTAAATCATCCCTTACTCACATCTTCAAGCCAGAGTATAGCACTTTGTTGGATTTTTGGGTTATCCTAGGTAATTTAAAACTATGTAATTTGTATTTATTGTGTACCTGTGAGACAGAGATAGCAGGAGAGAGAAAGAGAGACAGATTAAAAAGGATAGAATGAGGGAGAAAGATAATTAGATAGAATGGAGGGGGAGCAGCATCCGACCCCATTGTTTTGACAGGCGGTAGGGCAGTGACTAATGAGACAATATGTCATTTTGACAGCTGCCCACTCCTGACTCAAAAAAATTATAAGCCACACACTGGCACACAAGACAAGCTTGCTGAAGGGTGATAATAGCAGTTTTATGAAGTATTAGTGCCTATATATGTGTATTTTATTATAGAATCCAGAAGCAAAAAGGGAAGGCAGGAATGAAGGAAGGACTAGATGAAAGGAAAAGAAAAAAGAAATTGAAGGAAGATGAGGAATGTAGGAAGGAGGTGGGATGCCCTCCAGGTAGCCTCCAGGAAGGAAAGGAATGAAGGAATTAGGAAGGAAGGATGACACACGACCATTTCCCTAGGATAACTACATAACACAACTGCTGCTAATCTTTGAAGAAAACTGCTCAGACGAGGTGTTTTTTTCTTTGCACATAAAAAAAAAAATTCAACAAAAATGCACACACCTGATTTATGTGTGAGAGTGTAAAACACCACTGTGTATGACACCATGTTTTATGTGTGAGAGTGTAAAACACCATGTGTATGAAAACCATGTTTATGTGTGAGGTTGTAAAACACCACGGGGTATGACACCATGTTTTATGTGTGAGGGTGTAAAACACCATTGTGTATGACACCCTGTTTTATGTGTGAGAGTGTAAAACACCATTGTGTATGACACCATGTTTTATGTGTGGAGTGTTAAAACACCACTGTGTAGACACCATGTTTTAGTGTGAGGAGTGTAAACACCATTGTGTATGAAAACCATGTTTTATGTGTGAGAGTGTAAAACACCATTGTGTATGACACCATGTTTTTGTGTGAGAGTGTAAAACACCCTTGTGTATGACACCATGTTTTATGTGTGAGGGGTGTAAAACACCATTGTGTATGCACCCTGTTTTATGTTGAGAGTGTAAAACACCACTGTGTATGACACCATGTTTTTACGTGTGGGAGTGTAAAACACCATTGTGTATGACACCATGTTTTATGTGTGAGGAGTGTAAAACACCACTGTGTATGACACCATGTTTTACGTGTGAGGAGTGTAAACACCCCGTGTATGACACCATGTTTTATGTGTGAGGAGTGTAAAACACCACTGGTATGACACCATGTTTTATGTGTGAGGAGTGTTAAAACAAACCCCTGTGTATGACACCATGTTTTTGTTGTAGGAGTGTAAAAAACCACTGTGTATGACACCATGGGTTTTATGTGTGAGGAGTGTAAACACCACTGTATGACACCATGTTTTATGTGTAAGAGGTAAACACCACTGTGTATGACACCAGTTTTATTGTAAGAGTGTAAAACACCACTGTGTATGCCCTTTTTTACAGAGTTCAACAAGCTGCAGAACTTTAGGAGTATGTTCAGTGATGTTTATTGGGTAATATATTATAGAACATTAGTAATAAAAATTTTTTGTATTGGTTTGTTTTTGTAAACAATTTTGTAAAAAAAAAATATTGATAATTAGTTTGGTGACTTATTGTGTTGTATTCAACGAGTGTATATATGTACATTGCACATACTTTGGTCTCACAGGCACATAAGTTATGTAAAAAAATAAAATAGTGAAAAAATCAAAAAACCTTCAAATACAAGTAAACATAATTTTCGGTGAGCGGCAGTCGCCGGTTGCCATACGCGGTCAATTTTGCAAACTTCATGCTCTATATTCGGTAATTTCTGATGGGAAAAATTTTTTTTTGGGACTAAACAATCGAAAAATAATCTTTAAATTTTCATAAGAAAAAATAATTTTTTTTTTCGAATTTTTGCGACCCGGAGCAACTTCAGGATTGGCCTTCGACAGTCAAAGGGTTTATAAAACTTTAATGTCTTGTAGATTATATGAATACCTTTTTATTGTTGTTAGTTGACTGGATTATTTTTAATTTGTATTTTATATCCATGTATTAATTTTTCTCCCTTTAAAACATGTATTATATTTTTGTCGTGGTACACGAATATCAGCCAAATTTGTTCCAAAGGCTTTCAAGTCCGTTACCAAAAAATTTTTCCAAAGAATAATGTTTTTAAAGGAATTTTAGTCCCTTTCAGACCCCAAATACACTTACAAAAGCACTTTTCAAAAATTTCTTTAATAAATTTTTCGGTTGGGGCTTTTCAAAATTAAAGGGCCCGGTTTTTTAAATTTGTTGGTAAACTATATGTCTTTAAAATAATTCTTATGTGGTAAAATTTAAGGGTTTTTTGTTAATAAATTTGTCCCTTTTAAAAAAAGAAAATTTTTTCCCCAAAAAATAAGTATTTTAAACCCTAAAAAAAGGAAATTTTTTAAAAAAAAAATTGCTAAGAAGAGAAAGGTCATAAAAATTTTTGAAGAGTCTTTTAGGAGAAAAATTTTTTAAATTTTTTGGGTTTGGGTTTGGGAAATTTATAAAATATTTGGGTAGTTTAATTGAAAAGGGAAATGAAAATTGTAAACTTTTAAATTAATTTCAAAAGAAAATTTTTTCAGAAAGGCGGGCTGAAACCCTTTGGCAGTTTTGTTTGAAATTTTGCTTTGGAAAGACTAAAACCAAACTTTTTATATAAATTTAACAGCAGCTTTTAAAAGGGGAAATTTTTTTGCTTTAATAAAAAAAGTTTTTTTTTAAAAAAAATTAAAATTTTTTTCCCGTTTTGGAAAAAATTATCAGTAAAAAGGTTTTTTTGTGAAAAAGGGTGATTTTTGTAATGGTTAATAAGTAATCCCAAACCATTTAGCGGGCCCTAGCCCTGGAGGTGGGAAAGAGCGGGCCCCTGCACTGTGAAGGAGGGATGAGGATTTTGGGCGCCCAGAGGATAATCTGATTTTTAATGCCAGCAACTTTTTTTGAAAGATGGCTTTTGAGAAATGCTGGTGAATGTTTTTTTCCTTTTTAGACCCCCCTGCCTTGGGGGGAAGGGCTGTTGATTTAAAAAAAAAAAAGCTATTCCCACAAAACCCAAAAAAAAAAATCCCCCCCTTTGGGTTTTCTTATTTTATTACTTGTTCGTGCACTAAACCTTTGGATGGCAACACAATATTTGGACGTGTTGAAAGGGGTTTAGCAACACTCCTGCCAGGGAAACCCCATTGAAACTGACCCTTTAAAGGGTACTCCTTTTGAAGATATCCTAATTGAAAAGGTTCAAATTTTTTTGGATCCATTCAAGGAAGCTGATGAGCAGGTTGGTTTACTAAACAAAAACATTAATTGGAATGTAGAATTTTTTATTTTAAAAAAAATCCCTGTATGGAAAACAAAATGTTTTTGGGTTTTTTGGTGGCAATTTTTTATTATTATTAATTCCCTTTAAGGGGGGGTTTGGGAAAAGAATTGCCCCCAAAACCCAAAGGGCCCTGTCTTTAAAAGGCGACTAAAAAAGGGTGGGAGCGAGGGGTGGGAAATTGTCTCCTGTATAAAATTTCTAAAATTTTAAAAAAATTTTTTTTTTGTTTAGGTCACTCTGCCTTGGGGGGATATGGCCTTGTTGAAAAATTAAATTAAAATTATTATTAATTTTAAACCCTCTTTTAGGAGTGAGGGAAAAGCCAGTTTTGATTTTGGGGGGAATTCGTGAGGCAGTTTGGAAAAAGAAAGGGGGTTTAAAGGGAGCCGGGATTTTATGGGATAAAAAATAAAAATTTTTTAAAAGAGGTTGGGGGTTTTGTTTTGGGGTGGGTTGGGGCAATTATTTAAAAAATGTATGGAAGAGGGTAAGGTTTTCCCAGGGGTTGGGGAAGAGCATGCAAAGTTCCCCTTTTTATAAAAAAAAAAGGGGACAAAAAAAGAGGTTTCAAAAAATTTTAGGGGGATAAGCTGTTGGTAAACCTTGGTTTAAAATGGGATGGTAGAGTTTTTTTATTGAAAAATTAAGAGGGAAAAACGGAGAATAGGATAGCAGATAACAAGGACTTTGGAAAGGTAAAGGGGGGGTGTGGACCCGGTGTTTCAGTGAAACATTTTAAGTGAACAGTATTTAGTAAGGCTAAAAAGGTTTTTGTGGCCCTTTATTTGGGTTTGGAAAAGGGATAGAAAGGGTGGAAAAGGGGGGCCCAATTTTTGGGAGAATTTGCAGGTGTATTGTGTAGGAGGGGAGGTTAAATTTAAAACGTGAAGAGGTTTTTTTCGGGAAAGGGAAATGAGGCTCAAGTTAGGGTATGTAGGAAAAAAGGGGGAAATTAAATTTTTCCCCGTTTTAAAAATAGGCCTTTTTGACAAGGAGTGTGATGTCACCAGGTTGTTTAATATATATATAGATGGGGTTGTAAGAGAAGGTAAATGGCGAGGGTCTTGGCAAAAAGGCCGTGTGGGATGTGGAGTTAAAGATAAATGAATCACACATAAGTGGGAGTTTAAGTTGTTGCACTGTTTGCTCTTTGCTGATGGGACACGGTGCTCTTGGGAGATTCTGAAGAGGAAGTTGCAGAAGATTGGTGGATGAATTTTGGTAGGGTGTGCAACAAGTAGAAAAATTAAAAGTGAATTACAGGAAAGAGTAAGGGTTATGAGGATAACAAAAGGATTAAGATTAGGTGATAAAAGTGGGAGATACTGAATTGGAGGGAGAGAGTATGGAGGGGGTGAATGTTATTCAGATTATTTGGGCTGTGAGAGTGTCAGCGGATGGGGTATGACGAAAGATGAGAGTGAATATAGAATTGATGAGGGGGAAAAAAGGTGTGAGTGCGTTGCGCTTAGGATTGTGGAGACAAAGGGACTTTGTTCTTTGGAGAGGCAAAGGAGGATGGTATGAGAGTATAGTTTTACCAATGCTTTATAATGGGTGTGAATAGCATGGGTGATGAATTGCAACAATGAGGAGAGGGCTGGAGGCAGGGGGGGGCGTGTCTGAGGGCAATGTGTGGTGTGGAAATATAATGCAGAGAATTCGTTTAGTTTGGAAGTTAGGAGAGGTGCGGGGGGGATTTCCAAAACTGTTGTCAGAGGGCGCCGGAGGGAAGGGTTGTTGAGGTGGTTCGGACATATAGAGAGAATGGTGAGTGAAACAGAGTGACTTCAAGAGTGTTGTAATCAGTCTGTAGTGGGATGGAAGGTGGGGGTAGGGGTCGGCCTCCTAGGAAAGGGTGTTGGTGGGAGGGGGTTAGTTTAAAAGGAGGTTTTGTGTTGCGAGGGGCTTGGACTTTCCAGGCAGGCATGCGTGAGAGCGTGTTTGATAGGAGTGAATGGCGACAAATGGTTTTTTAATACTTGACGTTGTGTGGAGTGTGAGCAAAGTAACTTGTATGAAGGGGGGGGGTTTTCAGGGAAAACCGGCAGGCCCGGCTTGGTCTGGAGATGGGAAAGTACAGTGCCTGCACTCTGAAGGAGGGGTGTTAATGTTTGACAGTTTAAAAACTGTTTGTGTAATAGCACCCTTTCTGCGCAAGATCAGTGATGGAGTGAATGATGGTGAAAGTTTTTCTTTTTCGGGCGCGCCACCCTGCCGGGAGGGTATCGGTCAGTGTGATAATTTTAGATAATTAAAAAAAAATATTTATTTATTTTATTTATTTATTTATGTATCCTCTTTATTTCCAACAATCGGCCATTACTCCCATCAGAGGCAGGGTCCAGGGGTGTGACCCAAAAGAAAGAAGAAAAAGATAATCCCCCAAAAAGAGTATACTGTCCTTCATCTTCATCACGTTCACCCCGCACTCATATAATCCCTATTTTGCAGAGGTGCCCAGAACCACAAAACGTTTAGTGGTTTTTTAAATAAACAGTGGAAACCTTCTAACTTGCGAGTTTATCCATTCAGGTGACCTTGCGCGCCAACTGGATGGGCTCGGGGCAGTCAAGGTTCCCTCAGGTGTAAATTATAGGGAAAATGCTCGCGTTATGCCGTTACAGGAGAAAGTAGTGATGGGGAGATCGTGTCTAACAGGGAGACGTCTTGGTGGCACGTTTTAGCAGCGATGGGCTGAGGGTTCGCGCGCTCGGCTAAGCGATTGAGGTCCTGTATTATACTATTGTATTGTACAGAGAAACAGGAGTGAGACTCTGAGTATGTTTGATTATTGTGCGCAGGTTGGTTGTCAGGGGGAAGGCTGGCCTCTTCCACGGCACGGGGGGGGGGGGGGGTTAACTCGGCGGGCGAGAGTGACGGCCTGGGGTATAAGCCGGCGATGTGGAGAAGGAGGGTGTGGGAGTATTGAGGTGGGTGGGCGGGTCGGTGGTCCGGAGTCTGAGCTGGTTGTGGTGGTGGGGAGGGTGTGGGAGGTGGGTGTGGTGGTTCGGTGGTGTGGTGTCAGTGGAGGTGGCGTTCATTCTGTCTGTGCATTACTCACGGCCATTATCCCACGTGGTGTGGGGGGGGGGGAGGTGGCTCATAAAAGAAAAGTAAAAAAACCAAGTTTATCTTTTTTAAATTTAGTAATTTTTACGGGGGAGAAGGGGGGTACTAGGCGCTTGCTCCGGCATTTTGGGGAGTCGCCTCTGAACATACACGCATGGAGGTATGGAGGATGATATTCTGTGTCACTTCCCCATGCAGAACATTTGATTGGTATGATTATTGTTATTTTGATCAACCATAAGTGGGATTTTTTAGGTCACCTACATAAAAGATATAAGAGTTATGTGATGCCTTATTGCATGAAAAGTGTAAGATATATGGTCAGCCCAGTCTAGGACTGCTTATAGGTTATTGGACAGTGAATCGTCATTGTTTACTCTGGAAAACAGCCGAGCCAAGGGACCATGGTCTGCTAGGGGTTGGAGCGCTTGGGCAAGGGACTGCCGCGTCGGGGGGGGGATAAGCAAGCATAATTTTTCGATTGGCGGGGTGGGATCTGCCTTTCTTGCATAGGGAGGACCCATAAAATATAAATACGAGAATGTTACAACCAGTTATATATCCATTCGAAGTAACACTAAGGGGTTGGCGTGAATTGCCTGGGTGTAACGCGGATACGCCATGTAGGTTGGCTGAGAGTGCGGGCAGGGTGGGGGTGGGTCGGGGATGTAAGCATCGGGCCATCATTATCAGTGCCACCCATCGATAGCGTTCCAAAAGATACGCCCAACAAACAAATGAGATTCCATTTCCCGAGATCAAGTGCAAAAGCCCCTCACCAGGGTTTGTTAAGGAGGTATATCGCTTGTGGAAGGAAAGTTTGCTCGGTATGGATAGCAAAAAAATCTTCGGCCAGCGAAGGTGCTTTAGGTATTTCGAAAAATACTCGCACGTGGACTCGGCTCGGCAAGTAGTACGAGGTTCCATTGTACATTTAAAAGATATACTACATATCCCTCCAAACGGCCTATATCAGAACCCCTCCTTGTTTTAAAGTGCTCAGGCTTTGTATTACCTTTGCTCCGGCTATCTATATATAATCCGGTTTCCCTGAATATCCCTTCACTAAACGGTGACACACTGACACACTCGAAACCAGGTCGTCAGGTCCCAATTAATCCATCGTCTCCATTCACTCTACCTAACACGCTCATGCACACATGCTGGAAGTCCTGCCTCTCGCCCACAAAACCTCCTGTACCCTGTCCCACCAACCTTTTCGAGAATGAACCCTACCCTGCTTTGCTTCCGTCAGATTTGGATGTCTTCCATGTCATTCTACTTGAGCCATTCTCTCCTAAATGACCAATCCACCTCATAACTCGCTTCAGCCCCTCTGAATAATACATTACTTTGTATTACCTCTGCACCTTTCTCCTAATTTCCACACTCCCAAAGTCGCGCTTTAATATGTTACACCACCACTATTGCCCTTAGAAAGGACTTCTCCACTGCCTCCAAGTGCCTTCTTACTGCTAGCATTTTTCAACCCCTAAGCTTAACACCTCATTATAAGAGGGTTGGTACTACGATGCTTTCATACATTCCCTTCTTTGCCTTCTTAGATAAACTTTTTTGTCTCCTCATATACCGCAATCACACCCACTCGCCTTTTTTACTCCTTCATCCAATTCTATGGTTAACCGCATCCCTCATAAACCCATGTGCGTGACGTGTCAATACTCCCATATCTGAAAACTTCACTTCTTCCATACTCCCTCTCTTCAATGTGATAATCCAATTTTTCTTATCTAAATCGTTTGATTACATATTCACCTTTACTCTGTTCTAAGCTTAACTGTCAGCTTTCTACCTATACTACCCTCCCAAACTCGTCCACTAAACCTTTGGCAACTTTCCTTAGTATCTCCCCTAAGCACTAGTAT